TAAATTAAATTAATCCCTAAGATTGACTGGCTTCTAATTTCTCCTTACATTTTCTTCCTTGAAGCATATGTAGAGGTCACAAGAGTATAGGAAGTGATCACCATTTAAGAAGCTCCTGATTGTCAAACAATTAATTTTCTCCTTGTCAGCACCATAAGAAATGTAAAGAGAACAGTGCAGAGAGTGTGAATATTAAAGTTAGGGTGTAATGGAGCCAAAAGAGGTTCTTTATTACAGAGCAGTGTAATCATGTTTGAAAGCATGATTCTTTTCTTTTCTTTCTTATAGGTTCTTAAGTGGTTAATGAGCTGTGGCTCATTCTCCGTGATCAAGTGGCAACAAAATAAGGTCAAACCATGTACCAATTTAAGGCAATGGGATCTATGAAAGAATTTCTCTCTCAAGTCAGACTTCTGGGACTTTCCAAGAATTGCTGTTTATCTTTACCTTTCATACAAGCCAGGGGTTTAACCAAAAGTGTCTTTGTTTCACCTGTCAAACCGCAACAAAACTGGATAAGGCTTAGAGGGACAAACCTTGGGTTATTATCAGTCCAATGTGCTCTCAAGTCTGTTTCTGTGAAGGCCCTGGCTAAGGATATTTCAGCCGTCAAGTCCACCAGTGAATATCTTTACTTGTACGACAGATTCAAGGACTCACCTGCCATGACTCAAATGAATCGCATAACAATTCTGCATCATTTGGCCAAGGTGGCTGCAAGTGGACCAAAGAAGAACTTCTTCTCTTTGAGAAAAGTTATAAATGAAGAAAAGGAAATTTTTATCATCCTGTTGAACAATATTGGAAATGATCTGGAGACATGCAAGGCTCGTGATATTGCGACTATTGTATGGTCGTTAGGGAAATTAAGGGAGCACGATGCTTGGTTTGTTACCGAATGTGAGAATGAAATACTTCGGCGAGATCAGACCTCTTTTCGGGCACCAGCAGTGTGCAAGATTCTTATTGGTTTTGCTTCACTTGACTTGAAAAGATCCAAGTTTTTCAGAATTGTTGAACAAAGAATTCTGGATGGGCAGCTTAAGATGGGCAAGTTTGAAAATCGTGGACTGGCCGGTGTTTTGTGGTCTTTCACCAAAACTGGAAATGAAAGTAAAGAACTACTGGAAAAATTCCAAGAAGAGATTTTGATCAGAGATATGAGAGAATTTAGCAGTGACCAGCTTGCTCAGTTTTTATGGTCATTCACCCAGAAAGGAATTCTACCTTGTGATAAACTCTTCACAATCACAGAAAAGGAAATTTTGAAAAGACCACCAACAGATCTCAGTAATCATTGCATCAAGATGCTGCTGTGGTCGTTTGCGAGGGCTGGATTTGAAGGAAAGGAAGGCAATAGTCTTTTTGCTAGTTTAAGTCCTGAAATAATACGGAGGGGTGTTCATGATTTTGATGCAGATGAGCTCTCAATGTTAGCATGGGCGTTTGCCAAAAGGTGCCCAGAAGCAGCAGGGGTCTTTGATGTCATAGAGAAAGAACTCTTTTTTCGAGGTATAGCTGTGTTTGGAACCCAGGAATTGTCGCAACTCTTATGGTCATTTGCAGTGACCGGTCATACAAGTTCAGAGCTTTTTAATGAAAGCCAAGAGGTATTAATTTCAAGGGATTTAAGTCTGCTGAAAGTTAAACAGTTTACTGATTTAGTCTGGGCACTTGGAAGATCAACGCTTTTAAGTTCAGATTTTTTAATGAAGGCAGTGAGTGACATGTTATCAAATGCAACTGTGTATTCTGATGAGGAACTGTGCATGATTTTACATGGATGTGTTCAGGTATCAATGGATACCCAAGAACCTTTAAAGCAGTTGGAAAGAGAAGTTCTGGATAGAAACATACCTCAAAATAAACCTGAGCTCATTCCTAAGTTGGCTTCAGGTTTCTCTACATGCAGCTATGAAGCAGGATCGGTATTTGATGAAATAGAGAAAGCACTACTTACCAATGACCTTTCTATGTATACAGAGCAGGAATTACAGGGTTTATGTGTGGCATTTTCCCAAATGGGGAGAGAATTGTCCCAAGTAAAGCAAACACTAAAGGAAGGTGGGAAAGCTGAATGAGCGGAAAACAATATGAAACATTAAATAGATAAGTCATCGCTGTGCTATTCAATACAATGTTTTTTTTATTGAATAAAAATCTCTTGAATAACAGAACATTATTGAAGAGTATTGACTATGTCTGGCTCTGAGTATTGACTGTGTCTGATTCTGAATTTTGTTTTTGCAACCTATGGACCTTGCACTTGTAAATACCTTAGTTTATCTAGTAGCCAAGGGTACTTTAATTTAAAAGAAGCACTACTGATCTGTTGATCTTACACAAACAAACCTTAAATTGTGGCTCCTACTTCTTGCTACCACAATCAAACACTAATGACCACCCACCACTCAGGGACCTCTTAAAGAGAAATTACACATTTACCACTTCACCTATTAGATTTGAGGCTTTGAGCAAGCCAAAAAAAATTCCAGGTAATTGTTTTGGCCCCTGCTTATTTGAGCCTATCCCTTACTTTCCTATGGCTTTGGCCAAAGAGTTATTTTAATAGGCCACACTTAAAAGTAATAATATGTTAATGTAATCTAATTTGACAGGGCTTGTTGCTACTCCTTGACGTCAAATTTGTAGACTGTTTTCTGTTTGTAAGTTTCTCCTGGCCGAAGAACTGGACTTGGGAAGTTAGTCTGTTGACCAAAAAATAAACAGATGAATTATATTATCAAAAGCAAGATCTCTTTTAGATGTACAGCTGAAATATTTCACCACTTTTGATAAGGACTTTACAAGATTAGGGTTTGATGGCAGTTACAAATTACTCTTGGGAACAGCCAAAAAACAAAACTAACTTGGTTAACAGCATCAGGGTAATTCTGTGCTTCTAAGCAGAATGCACCAAACTTATGGTAAAGAACACCTCCCTTGCCAACAACTCCATCAAATCCATTGGCAGTGTAAAACTGAACTCCAGGCTGATCGGTGAACATTTTAAGAACACGCCCACTGCTAGGATGGTATACTCTGCAAGACCATAATACCAAGGACTTGATTATACCCAATAACAAATCTAACAGTTTATTGAAGTTTTTATTGCTGTCTTCAGTATTCACTACGTTCAGTTTCTGATAATTTTTAACTCTCTTGATGGGGGAGCCCTTGTTTGGTGAATCCCAGTGTTGCAGTCTCTCTCAGTTTCTGCTTTTTTTTCTCAGAGATATTAATAACAAAACAAAACAAAATAAAACAAAAAAAAAACAAAGGAGGTGTAAAAAGGACTCAATAGATCTGCACAATCTGTGTTAAATCACTGTAACCACAATTCATGCACATAAATGGAATGGCTCTGTAATGTGCACAGTTCAGTGTAACTTATTGTACATGTCAATCATGAATGGGTGTTAATGAAATAGCAGCTTCTGAACTTATTTCACTGATGCTGTGGATTTAGATGTTTCTTTGTAATGCTGTGATTTTCAGTACACCCCAAGTTCCCTTACAAATCTCTGAAACTTCAAATTTTAAAGTTCTGTCTTAATACGAGAATTATTTTTTTTGTAGCAAACTATTATTTTTAATTTTCTTACTCAGCACAGCATTCCTTTTTTCCTTTGACGCAGTAGTTGTGATCATAGCCATCTATTTTATGAATATCCTTTCCGACTGGTTTAGGTTTGGTGAAGTCAAAGGTATCATTTGGGCTTGACACAGAGCACTCTTCACCTAAAATATTTAATAATCAATTGTTAAAGGGCACAGAATGTCATAGAAGGAAATGATATACAGTCAAAGCTAGATAACAGTCCTCAGTCTACATCAAGTACTACAGCCTAGGAAGGGCAGTTTCTTTACCTGCAAATACATGACACAAGGGGAAAATATTAGACTGCACATACCTGTAGGAATCTGCACATCATTTAGGGGTAAATAATGCTTTGCGTGTATCTGAGCTATGTGATCCAAAACATCATGATCAACCTTAAAAAAAGTGAACGCAGACAACAAAAGAACATAAATTGTACACTATTTAACACCGATTTATTAGAATGAATTTGAATATATGAAAATCATATATGTGTATTGCGGTTTCATGAAATGTATGAAAGCATACATACAAATATATAGCAGAGGTCATGGGTTCAAATCCCGTACAGGCCTGAATTTTTTCAGGCCTTATTTCAACTACTACATATTAAGTAAGGGTTCATTACTGCAAGGATCGCTTTCATACACAATGTAATTAATTTGTGATTAATGAATCATTTCAAAGTGTTTGGTTAAGACACTCTTGACTATAGTATTACGTAGAGGGTCCCTGGTTGGACAGTTATCAGTTCTGCTCAGTGTTCTTTTTCTTCGACTGTACCTGCGTCATTCACTGAATAACATCTCCTTTCAAGCTCTTGATTGTTAAAACAAATTCTCCATGTTGATATAGTAGGAAATGTATAGAGAACAGTATGGAGAACATGCAGGCTGAACTTTGGGTAGAAAGGATTAAAGCACTAGTACCTGACCAGCCAAGTTAAAGTAGCCATGGTTGGTGAGATTGACGATGGTGGGAGCCTTGGCTGTTGCCTTGTAGTTGAGTTTGACTTCATTGTGATCAGTAAATGAGAATGTCAACCTTACTGTTACATCTCCAGGAAAATTTTCATCCCCATCTGGGCTTTGGTGAACAAACTTAACTTTATTTTCTCCCTTCACTTCACTCTTCCAGTTATACTGATGGAGACAAAAGCAGAGGCAACAATGATTGTGAGTCATAGCAATTTTCAACAGATTGTCAAAAGTGAACCAGGATTGCATCCCTTTTGATTTCCTCTGACGTATGATTGGTCTGGAAAACTCATCCAGCT